GTGCACGGGGTTAGCCATGGCCTCGTGGAGGAACGCCCTGTTAAGGCTGTGGCCATTTAGGAGTGAGAACAATGACAGCTCTTCCTCGCAGTGGGGCAGGAAGACCGAGACAAGGAAGATAGCGAGGGCTCTGGGGCCGTGGGAGGCTTATATGGTGACCGTGCAGTCCATTCTGATCTGGGAGAGTCCGGGGACGAGCGCCCTGGCCGTGGTGGGAGTGAACGTCCTCTTCTGGTGAGTGGCTCGGGCCCTCTCTCTCTCTCTCTCTCTCGCTCTCAGGTGTTCTTTGTCATTTGAGGGCGACGTGTCCGGGGATTCAAGTTCTTTTCGGTGTTTTAGTAGTGCGTGTGTGTGTGTGTGTTTGTCTGTTTGTTATAGTATAGGTGGTTGGGTGGTATATTACGTTGGGATCGCAGGGATTTTTTCTCCTTTCTGTATGCATTGTGGATCTCGGGGGGGAAAGGTTGAATGTGAATTGCAAATGATATATTGACTCTGTCAACTTGATATCCCGGGTCGATGAAATCTGTCGTCGCACAAAGAGAAAAAAACGTCTCAGTGCTTTGGGTTGATCAAGTGATTATGTGCCTTACTTTGACGACAGTTGTTACAGCTTGAGCTGTTTTTTGGCTTCTAGTTAAAAGCTGTGACATTGTGTAGGAGAGAGAGAGAGGAAAGTCACGAGGAAAGATTTGTTCTGTGTTCTAAAACTATTATTTCTATTGTGGTTGAATCAGGTTTTTTAATAGACCAGCAAGTAAAACCTTGTTTAATGTTTATCTTCAGTTCCTGACACCTGAGATATTTGAAGTAAAGGTTGTGAATAGAGAGTTAGCAAGTAGGTCAATGTACTTAGCTTCAGAGTAGTCCTGAGGGCACAGACCTTTCTAATTAAAGATTTAGAAGATACCAAGTTGTTTTGTGACATTCTAACATAGGTGATTGTTGATTTTAGAAACTGAGGATTTTATTAAATTGTGTAAATATTCTTGGTTGGGTCATGTTATTATAGAATTTAGTTATTTATTTTTAAAGGGGGGAGTAGGACCAAGTATTTTATAGCCATTTTTGTTTTTATTATTCTCCAGATAAAGTTAGACCTAATCATATAAACCCTTTGCTGCAAATAGATTTAATCATTTGAAAAAATTAATTAAAAAAAAGTCCAGGATATATATCATGTATATACCACCCATTATAAATAAATATTCTACCAGCCTTATTTATTGCTGGCTTTAAAATACCTTGATCACTCTTATCCTTTGCTGTCATTACAAATTTGTTCTCCTTTTTGTATCTAATCCTGGTTAAATGCTAAACAAAGAAAAGAGACAGGTGTTAGATAGAGTAAATTCCTAAGGTCATGTATCTGCTAGAAGTAATGTTATTTAACCCAACCACCACGTATTTATGTTCTGTCCTAAGTAGTTTTTGTCAATTTTGTTACATACAGACGGTGCCACAAGTGCTCAGCCAGCAAGGAGTTTATCAGTAGGCCCTAGTGATCGATCCTTAAATTGGCGAGAATTTTTTTCTTTTCAAATACAATGGATATCGATACTGTTATTATTGTTATTGATGTTACGATTATTAAATTGTTTTTAAAATCTTGATAACATTTAAGACAAAGAGATAATACAAAAGACCCTCTCCAGAAGTCAAGGAGAAGGGTAAACAGGTGAGATAAGTTGGATTAATAACTTCCTCCTTGGTGACTAAGCACTTCTAGTTTAAATACAATAAACAAACTTATATTACAGTGGGCATGGCATGTATTCTTTCCTTACGTGCCAATGCGGTCAAGATCATTTCCTCACTGATTTTGATAACAAATTACAGATTAAGGTTTAACTTGTACTTGATGAAAAAATATATATATATTTGAGTGAAGTATTATCAGTTCACTGGAAAAGTACCAGGTGTATATACTTTTAATTATTTATAGATTATTCTTGTGTGATAGAAATATAGATGATAACAATAGGCATGCACAGGAAAAGTGTAGATACACACACACACACACACACACACACACACACACACACACACACACACACACACACACACACACACACACACACACACACACACAGATTAATAGATAGGTATTTATATGTATATATATATATATATATATATATATATATATATATATATATATATATATATATATATATATATATATATATATATATATATATATATTTATATATATATTTATATATATATTTATATATATATTTATATATATATTTATATATATATTTATATATATATTTATATATATATTTATATATATATTTATATATATATTTATATATATATTTATATATATATTTATATATATATTTATATATATATTTATATATATATTTATATATATATTTATATATATATTTATATATATATTTATATATATATTTATATATATATTTATATATATATATGTATATATATGTATATATATGTATATATATATATATATATATATATATATATATATATATATATATATATATATATGTATATATATGTATATATATGTATATATATGTATATATATATATATATATATATATATATATGTATATATATGTATATATATGTATATATATATATATATATATATATATATATATATATATATATATATATATATATATATATATATATATATATATATATATATATGTATATTTACATATGAATGGTGAAAACACTCTACTGTGTTGATACTATGGTACAACACCCCTTAATATACTATATTTTTTGGAAGCGAGTGTCACTTTAAATATCTAAATAAATATAGTATTATATTGCAGGTTTTTCTATCATATTTGTATATTAATATATATGTATAATATATGTAATAATACACACACATAGATTCACAGATCCAAGGATACATACATACATACAGATAGATATTTAGTGATGAAGTTGTGTCTTGGAATAAAATGTTTGGTCTTACATTCTGAAAGTCAAACAATCATTGTGAAAAAAAGAATCTGATTATGACCATTTTTACCATATTTTTATTTTTTTATTGATCTTGTATTATTTTATTTATTTATTTTTTATTTATTTATTTATTTATTTTATTTTTTTATTATTATTATTTTTTAATATATATATATACATCTTAAGCATCTGTTTACAGGAGTGATATGAAATAAATATTGTTTTAAGAGCTGTCTTTAGTATGTGATAATTTTTTGCAGTCTAGTCTTTCTCTAGTAAAGTGCTTTTGATTGTCGAGTTGATGTGATTTTAATGCAGATATTGTTTTTACACAAGGAAATATACAGATATTTGTCCAGAAATTTAAGTGCGATTATGAAGACCTGATAAAACGGCATATATTGTTTTGAAAGAAATTGATTTTTTTTTTACTACTTTGAGACAGAATATTTTCATTAAAACTTTCATACATGTTTAAAGCTTAAGAATGTGTAAACCTGTGTGGGTATTTTGTTTGTTTATGTTCATGTTTGTGTTCCTCTGCACTTATGTGTATGTATATTAGTATAGCATTTATATTTGTGGAGAAGTAGATACAGACTCGGTTATTTTTATAGAAATTCACCATTGTATTTGCTTGCATTTGATTGTAAATACATATATCATTTATATGTATATATTAATACAGCCACAAATAATTTGTATGAATACATAGGCCTACATTCAGATATTAGTAATTAAAAAAAAAAAAAAAAAAAAAAAGAAAAATATATATATATATATATATATATATATATATATATATATATATATATATATATATATATATATATATATATATATATATTTGCTATTACATATATACATACAGTACATATGTACATATATATATATATATATATATATATATATATATATATATATATATATATATATATATATATATATATATATATGCTATTACATATATACATACAGTACATACAGTACATATATAAATGCATGATAAAAACATGTATACTTGCATACACACATAAATACAGACATATATGAATATAAACATGTATATGGATATATGTGTGTGTGTGTGTGTGTGTGTGTGTGTGTGTGTGTGTGTGTGTGTGTGTGTGTTGTGTATTATACACACACATACATACATCACACAAATACAAACACATATAAATCTAAACACACACACACACACACACACACACACACACACACACACACACACACACACACACACACACACACACACACACACACACACATATCCATATACACATATACACACACACACACACACACACACACACACACACACACACACACACACACACACACACACACACACACACACACACACACACACACACACATTTACACACACACACACACATTTACACACACACACACACACATCTACACACACACACACACACACATCTACACACACACACACACACACATCTACACACACACACACACACACACATCTACACACACACACACACACACATCTACACACACACACACACACACATCCACACACACACACACACACACACACACACACACACACACACACACACACACACACATCTACACACACACACACACATCTACACACACACACACACACACATCTACACACACACACACACACACATCTACACACACACACACACACACATCTACACACACACACACACACACATCTACACACACACACACACACACATCTACACACACACACACACACACATCTACACACACACACACACACATCTACACACACACACACACACATCTACACACACACACACACACATCATCTACACACACACACACACACACATCTACACACACACACACACACATCTACACACACACACATCTACACACACACACATCTACACACACACACACACACACACACACACACACACACACACACACACACACACACATCTACACACACACACACACACATCTACACACACACACACACACATCTACACACACACACACACACACACACATATACACATACACAGACACACACACACACACACACACACACACACACACACACACACACACACACACACACACACACACACACACACACACACATTTACACACACACACACACATCTACACACACACACACATCTACACACACACACACACACACACACACACACACACACACACACACATCTACACACACACACACACATCTACACACACACACACACACATCTACACAC